GATAGAGATAGTCGTTGTCAAAGTTTCATAAATAAACAATTGTATACTGCTCGCAAACATATGCTTCAATTGGGTCCACATGGTAGCCAGGAATTTAGGATTTGTCACATTAGAAGGTCCGACAATTGTTCAAATAGAAGACAAACATGTGTAAACCATGGGATGCGAGAGAAGTGGCACGTATGTTCTCCGGATTCGAAAGTTGAAACGTGATGACATCAGAACGAGTAAAAAATTGCACTGAATTTCTTATTGCACCCTTGCTATATGAGGAGCACCTCTAAAATTCAAAAATGTTCTTAGGTTGAATTTGGAGATACATTTCTTAACGCACTAAATATCATTTTTTTAGTAAAAGTTAGTTCGGAGATACATCTCTCAATACACCTTCAGAGATACATGTCTGGAGTCACCTTTTCTATATAGGAATTTTTTATCACTCAGTGATATTTTTGGAGATGTATTTTAAAAATGTTCATCGAGAATTTGAGTATATGGGAACCTTGCATGATCATCTTTCTCCACTTTTTAAACACTCTCAACTCCTCCATAATCAAAAAATCTTTGAAAACATCACATTACCATTCAACTTTTCGATTCAAAATCAGATTTTATGCATTTTAACACATCAAAGGGAGCATCATAATATGCAATGTAAGGTAAAGTTTCCTCATTTCATTCCACATTGCTTGCATTGATCTTAATTTGAGCTGAAAAAATGTTTGTTTTGTCCGAAAATACATATCCAAATTCACCTACATTTTTTCGAATATGTATATCCGAATTCAACTGATATAGTTTTTAAAACTTTTCCTATTTTACTTCTTATTAGATATGGTTCACCCCGGATATGTTTCTCAAAATTGATGTGCGTAGCGATGTAAAACATGATGTGGCGAAGGATAATGTTAAACCAATTGAAGTTAAGCAGGATATTAAACCGAGAAAGTGAAGAATGATGCTAAAGTGATAGAGATAGACGTTTGTCAAAGTTTCATAAATAAACAATTGTATACTGCTCGCGAACATATGTTTCAGTGGATCCACATGGTAGCCAGGAATTTAAGATTTGTCATTGTAATTAGAAGGTCCGACAATTGTTCAAATAGAAAGACAAACATGTGTAACCATGGGATGCGAGAGAAGTGGCACGTATGTTCCCCCGATTCGAAAGTTGAAACGTGATGACATCATAACGAGAAAGTGTGGTTTTCCGTTTAAACTGTGCAGATATTGTAGCGTCAATGAGATGTAGAAATTTAATGTGCTTTCTAGAATACATAACCATGAATTACAAAGAAAGCTAGTCGGTCATCCAATCGCATATCGTCTTAAACCGGAAGAGAAGAAAATTGCCTCGAACGTGTCTTTAATCAGAGTGGCACCGAAAAATATACTTGCATATTTAAAATGAAAACACCCAGAAAGTGTTTCAAATATCAAGCATGATAAGAATTTTGAGGTCCAAAGCGATCAAATACTTGTATAAATAGGGTGTGTCTCAATCCTTATTTGTTGCACTACACACACTAAAACCAGATAGAATGAGTTCATATCTCCATCTACATTTGTGTATTTCAATGGAGAGAAATCACTGCTTCCGTTTAGGGTCACCGAGAAAACATCTCTCACAAATCTGATATTCAAACTGAATACTCTGTCGTACTTTCTAGAAAATCGCAGAGTTGTCAAGCTCAATTATCAATCACTCTCATTTGACAGTGAAGGGAAGGGCCATTTCACCAACTTAAACTGAAGACGGGTGGAGATCTAAAGGTTATGTGGAATATTTTTCTCCATAATGAATCAAATGGTCTAATTAAAGTGGATGCGAAGAATTCAAAGATCCGTTGAGAATATAATCATTATGTTTGTAACGTCCCGATAAAATGGTTATGTAATGTTGAATTTTATTTTCGTGACTATTTACGTAATAAATGTTTTTATTTAATAAAATGTTAATGTTGGTGTGTTTTTATCATGCTGTCATATTTCCATCCTTGTCTAATTCTGGAATCGGGTCTTGTTCGGAGATACATCTTTAAACACACTTTTATAAGACTTCGGAGATATATCTCCAAATATTATTGTAAAAAAATAATATTTAATGCGTTCAGAGATGTATCTCCAAAAATAGAAGACATTTTTGAAAATTTCGTGTGCAACTTAAAAAATATATATAAAAGTGCAATGAAAAAGCGCCCAAATAATTCATTGTACGACTGTAAACAGCAAATACATGAGAGAAAATAAAAGTAACACTATAAAATTCAATCCAAAAATGGTAAATAATTCGTTCATATTTGTGATTGTCAATCGTTCGTACCAATAAGCATTAACCCCTCTTAGCAGTATTACTTCCTATTTTTCTTATAATATGTATTAGTTGTAAAAATGTTTTTGATACTTACAAATCAAAATTTCAAAAATAAAAATAAAAACATGGATTTTAAATTTTCTTGAACTTAATTGCCGACACATATCATGCCTTAACTAGAATCAGAGAACAGTGACCACGACAGAAACCGCAAAATAGTAATAAAACGACCAACTAACATGAACTAAAACTATACAACAGTATAGGTAGCGGAGAGACAAGTCCCTGTAGCCTTGTCATTTTTCATCCAAGTAGCTGGCTTTGTATGCAATCTAACTAAACAACATGTGACACTTAAGACAACAAATTTTCATTGTACCTATAGTCCAACAAAAGATAATTAAAACTATAGAACATCAAATGCTACTTATTTCTTTAAAACAATAGTTTCACAATCAACAGCAACCAATTAGACTCAAGAAGCTAAATAACTTTTTTGGCAAATTCACTCTATTTCCTCTTCACTTCTGAAATTAATGACCAAATAAAACTGCACCATTGAAGTTCCAAAACTTACATCTACTCCCCTAATTATCCTAAACCAGAACTAGTTCCTGACACAGGCCTCAACAATGGATGATTGGTACCGGGCTGCACATTACTAGGGGCATTGAACATGGCACCTGAAGAAGTTGATTGTGATTGTTGTATCATAGATAGGGGCAACCTTTGCCCCAACCCAAACATTGAAGGTCTTTGGGCAAAGGACATGTGTGGATGAACTGGTTGGTTGTTGCCGTACCCTGAGATGCTGGGCTGCGAGGTAGAAGCAGAGATCATTTGTTGCCTATTAATGCCATTACTAACCATTGAAGGACCAACACCAGATGCATTCATTGCAGGCGTAGTTCCTGCAGTTCCAAAACGTGCTGATATAACACGGGTGCGTTCAGCAGCAAACCTCTGTTTTGCCCTTTCCACTTGTTCGCATTCCTTCATCAACAATGTTTCGATTTCTGCAAACTGTTTCAGCTTCAATTCCAATCTTTTCAACTGTTAACAACAGCAAGCCACTAAAAGTAGTTAAACATCAAAATACTAGCTCTGCACCTGATTTTGGAGTTTTCTCCTATTGCTTAATTTACCTATTCTGTAAAAAAATATGTCTAACTGCTGCTTACATCAGATAGAAATAGAAAGAGATGAAGTAGATCAATATTTTAGCTGAATCAACTGAAATTGAAGACCAGAAACAACAGCTGTACCTGATGATTAATTATATTAGCACATAATCTCTGAATTTCTCGTTCTTCGTGATCGGCAAACAATTTAGCTTTCATTGCTGCAGCAGAGAGGCCTGCTTTAGCTGCTTCATTAACTTTTTCAGCAGAGAGTGGGGTGGTCCTACCCTCATTTTGATCCCGCGAACTAATTGCTTTTGCCTTTTCCTCTGAAATCAAAAGTAGCACTTGTCAAGAAGAAAATAACACAGTGTCGCATTGGACATTGGGGCATTACATTATATCAGCTACGTAAAAAGCAGCAAACATAACTAACCATTATGATTATTTGAAATTGCAGCTTCTCCTCGAGAGCCACCATCCCTACAATGCATGTTTTCTGGATTTGTCCTTCATGTGTAAATATTATTAATGTTCAGTACAAAATTCATAAACTAGAAGAAAGAGAAATCAGAAGATAGGATATGCACAAAAAATGAGGAACCGCCCAGGAAAAATACTTCACCCAATAAAAATGCATGTGCTTTGGTAATCTTACTCACCTATTATCATGCCCTGATGCCTCCGTCTGGGAGCCAGTATTATCCCCTGACAACACTGATAATGCTGCATGAGCACATGAGGCCGCTACTCTTGGTCCAACCGCAGAGGCTAAAAAGGCAACCTTTAGATAACATCAACCAAAACCAGATGTGTAAGAATCTCATCAAAAGAACAGTAAACTATATAATAGAGTTTAATTAGTTGTGAAACTCTGGTGCACTATCTAAATACAATTTCATGGCATGTCAGCATATCACCCTATTAAAGCTTTTGATAAGCAAGCATGGTGACCATTTTTTTTACTTCAAAGAAAAGCAGTGCAACTTGACGAAACGGGTTTTTGTTTTTAAAAATTTTAAAATAATGAAGTAAATAAGTTAAGAAAAAGATGCAAAGTGCAGTACTGATAACCATGTTCCTAGTCTTATAAACTTGTTTGAAAATCGCATTTCTTAATTGAATAATTACTTTGGAATATTACTTATAGTCACCTACCAGAGCCATAACAGGATTTCCAGAATTAGCAAAAGGCAGGCGGTTGTCAGAATCTCTGATTTGATGGGCAGGTCCTGTGAGAGCATAGATATTAAATCAAAACCTTATCACAGCAATTTGGCTTAATTAAAAAATATAAGACAGACCTGCAGAATCTCCATTCGAGTAATGATGCGATCTTCCATTATCATCTCTATTCATCGCACTGGATGACAAAGACATGCTTGGAACATTGATATTTTCCAATTTCCCATCTTCCATGGGCATACGAAGAAAATGAAGAATACATTGTGCTTTTGACTTGGTACCAACATGCTCGGCAATTTCATTCCAATTCTCATTGTAAATCTCCATTGCTTCAAGCAGCAACAAAGTTTCTTGATCAGTCCAACTTTCCCCATCTAGTTCACCGTAATCTCTTGTTGAATCCACCCTTATAAAATCTATACTTGAATGACCAACAACAAATTTCCCATCATGGAAGCAATCAGTGCAGAGTAAAATATCAATCTGTAACATGAGAATGAGATACTGATTACATATAATGGAAGTGAGGAACTCATGATATACAACATTTAGCATGATATACAACATTTAGCATGATAAAATAGTCTGGACTAAAGAAGCACAACTCTCTAAAACACACAAAATAGTACACATTTCTCACTGACCAGAAATACCGTTTGGCACTATGCAAAATACCCAGAAAAAATTAAGGTTACAACCTTGGGAGATATGAGCTAGAGGATAAGGATGGAGTACGATCCAGACTCTAAAGGGAGAAGAAATGTGAGAAGGTGACCTGACCAACAGGAGTTCTCATGCAGGAGGAATCCCCAATTTCCAACTATATAACAATGATGAACTTTCAAGGGGGTCAGAAAGTTGGCTTAAATAGTAGGAAGCGGGGGCAGAAGAGAATTTGTTCAGAATTGTTAATATTGGAGAACTGAGAGCTGGCCTAATTATAAAAGGGGAAACCATTGAAAGGGGAGCTCTCTTTTTTCATTGTCATTCAATCAACCCTGGCACAGATGTGTGAAGATTAAATATAAACTAATATATGTTGTGATTTGTGAGTAGGATTATAGACACTGAGTGAAAAAAATTGGAAGTTTAAATGCATGGAATACACTCCTTGTGTCTAATATTAAGTGTCTTTTAAGGTTATGGACGCTCCTTAAAAAGTCATTAAGTATGGTTAATTAGAATCCAACTGGTAGAGCTATTGGTAAATTAGAATCTCTTCTACTCTTAAATCCACATCTCTCCCTCATTCAAGATAGGAGAAGATAAACTTTGGATTTTTTATGATATGTTACATGTCCACCAATATATCTTCCTTTTAAATTGCATCTCATTCTCCTAAGTCCTAACCATCATAAGTCCCTCCTCAATTAAACTACAATTGAAAGTCCAAGACTCCCTCGGAGATCTAATGTTTAGTATAGACTGCAGTTTGATATACAATAAAATAGAAAAATAGCATGGTGGGTAATGGTTAACTTTTGCACAAATCCAACGGATAGAGCTATTAGTAAATTAGAATCTCTTCTACTCTTAAACCCACATCTCTCCCTCATTCTAGATAAGAGAAGATGAACTTTGGATTTTTATGATCTGTTACATGTCCACCAATATATCTTTCTTTTAAATTACATGTCCCTCTCAATTAACCTACGATTGGAAGTCCAAGACTCCCTCAGAGATTGAATGTTTGGTCTAGACTGCAGTTCTATATACGATAAATATAAAATAATAATAGAATGGTTGTGATTTGGAGGCCTAATAGTCGCCCAGTTTTCTCTACTTATGTGTTTTATCACTTTTATGTTCCAAGTCTAGCTCTGATACAGCAGCTAACTAACTTGTGCATTCTGAGGCAGCAAGCTTCATATGCAATCAATTGTTTTGGTTTATTGGCGGACATTGGGTATGCTCTCCCACCTTGGAGTACTTTCTCATTGTACATACATGCTTTATAGGTTTATGAAGGAAGGAGTCCAATATTTTTTGGCCATATATAGTCTATGCAGTTCTATGGTGCATATTTGGTGGAATACTGGAAATAAACCGCCTTCATATTCAAGAGTTTACCTCTCCCTTTACAATTGGTAAGGGGCAGAATTGTTTTCGCGAGTGACCTCTCTTTGGTTCTCTGCCCACTGTTATTTTATCTCAAAGGATGAGGATCTTCCATCATTGATGTGGAGAGACATTGAACAGATTTTATTACATGTTTGACCCAGTTTGGTTCAATATTCTGTTACTGTTTTTACTTATAAGGATTTCTTTATTTTCAACTCATTGTATTTTATCTCTTTTCTTTCTAAATTTTTCTTCTTAAATCCTGGAAAAGCAGAAGCTCCTTTCAGATAAAAAATATTGGAAATCATAAGGGGAAAGATTGGAAAAGTGAAGAGAAAATAATATCAGTGAGATGAGAAGTGCAGACCTTACACTGGTACAACTATTTATTTTGACACGGCTCATATATGCTTTGGTACCCAAAAATATATGAAGTTTTTGGTTGAAGACTAAGTGCATACATTTTGTTTGAATGTAGAGGAAAAAACGAAGTAGAATAATTAAATAGGAAACAGTTTTTTTAAAGGTCAAACTTTTAAGGAACAAAAATGTGTTTTAGATTATTAATATTCTAGGTCAAGTACTAAAATAGTAGGACTAATACAAAAAGAACCCTACTAATAAGACTCCTACAACAATGAGAACCCAATTTGAAGCATTGGCCCATCACAAAAGTACTTTCATCCAGTGCTTTTTCCATAAACTGGTTACTTAACAATTAGACACTACAAACACGATAATTAAAGCAATTCAGTTACAGCTGACTGAGTACTTGGGGATTATTGTTGAAATAATAAGCGAGTATAATGCACAAACACTCAGATTAAGATAAGCAAAAAATAAGATACGAGAAATAACGGATAGCGTAGAAAATAAATAGAGGAAGCTGCAAAGTGGTTGAAATATAAATAATTGTAAATAAAATAAACCATGTCGCACACAAATAAAAGATGCATGAACTTAAAGTAAAAAAAGTAACAAACATAAAACCCAAAATCTCAAATATTTCAAACAACTAATAAAGCATGATGCATAGTTGCGTGAAGGAGATGAAGGAACATAGTGGGAATAGATCAGTCACCTATTTTTAGGCGGTGAGTTGTCTTTACAAAATTGTTGGTAGTAAGGTTTTATTGCTTTAAGTATTATATATAATACCCACTAAAGATCTAGATCCACCCTCAGATGACAAGCCAAACCTTATTTAGTTTTATCTGTGTGTGTGTGTTTTGATCAAACCCAATGCATAGGGAGAAATTAATCAGAATTTCAGGAAGAATATAATATTTTCAGAAGCAATTGTAAGATGTAATCCATATTTTGGATTTTTAATTTTGATATTAGTAACTGGTTTTATAAGCAAGAGACTAGGTTGATATTTATAGACACCGTAAACTAGACTGGGTGCAGCTTTCAACTACACGCGGCTTATTTTCAGCAATATATTTGCACTGATCATTTAATGTAATCATGCATGTTTTTAGGGGGTCATTCACTAACTAAAGCAATTCATAATCCTATTCATTTTTCATCCAGCAAATTACAAAATGACAAAAGCAATGGAATGCCATATGATATGACAATAATATATCATTAAATTATTGAATTTGAAACAAATAAAATGCAGTGTACCTCTTTTTGAGACTGATATGATACAGCAGGAAGTGGACAAGAACAATAATTGCAATGATTTTCAGACAGATGCTCTCTTATTCTGCCGTCCAAATCAGAAACATCAGTGCTATGTGTTGTCAATGGTGAATAAACTTCTTCTGCTTTGAGCTTACAGTTGGGCTTATCAAATTTGATCAAACTATCTATAGACTTCAAGGCCTCTGATGGCACACGGACTTCTCCACTAGTATCCTCTTTCAGACACGAGGCAGCATTTGGAGGCTCGTGACTTGGCATCCGGGCACAGTAATTGATAATCCCCCAGTGGTCAAGGAACCGAACAATTCGAGACAAATCCTCCTGATCAACCCCAACCTGCAATCCCTGACAATCAGAAGCAGTAATCCTCTTCTTGGGCTCCTCCATATATAGTGCAACAATATAGTTCCTGCATTCCATGTACTTTTCAGGAGTAAGATCCTGTGATTTCCCTGAAAAGAAATGAGGCACTGCTTGTCTCTCTAATCGATGCACTGTTCCAGGAGAAAACCAATCTGCTCATAGAAACTCCAAAAAAAACAACATCAAATTAGGTGGAGATTAAATTAATGACCTATTCATGAGAACTTGTCAATTAAATTTAATCCTGATATATAAGTCATATTTATGAAATACTTGAGAAGCCATTATTTAAATAACCATATTGGTTACAAACAAAATCTAAAAAGAAAAGATTGCATCAGAGTGAGAACCTGAATGCATTGGAAGCACAAGAACCCTACTTCCAAACCGCTTAACAACACCACGACCTTCCAAAATGGGCGGCGGAGTAATAACATAAGACGAATCAGCACGATCCTGATCCAAAGCAAGGCTATCAGAAGGAACAGTGGATAGCGCTTGAAGCTGACCATGGGAAACATTCTCCAAAAACGGAGCGTTCTGGAGCTGACCTTTGGTATCTCCCAATCCCAACTCCATAGCTCGTTCAAGAGCAACGATTGCAGTTACAGATGAGTGAGGACGATTAACAGCACGCTTAATGACAACCGGAAACTGCGAAATCTGAACACCTTGATCGGAAAGAATCTCAATCTCTTGTTGAGGGTGAGAATTTTGGTTGTGTTGATCCTCTGAATCGTAGTCGTATTCGTCGGCATTGGGGTTTTCGTCGTCGTCGTCGTCTTCCTCGTCGTGCTTCTGTTGACGTCTGGTGATTTGTGAATCTCGCTTCCTCTTCCTCCATTTGGTTCGATTTTCTGTCAAAGTAATAACAAAAATGGAAATTGAGAATGAATGAAACCCTATTTGTGAGATTGAAGAGTAGAGAGAGAGAGAGAGGGTTTTAGAGAGAGAGAGAGAGAGAGAGAGAGTACCTGAAGGAGAAGGTGGCATGGCAAAGAATGGAATGGGAGAAAGGGTTTAAGAGAGAGAAAAAAGTGGGGTCGTTGATTGGCGCAAAGGGGGTGATAATTGGGAGAAAATAATTTGGAAATTTGGGGATCGGTCGTGTTGGTTTGTGTGATGTGTGATGGATGTTGAGGCAGGAAAAGCACTCACATACAGCTTGTTTGGTTTTACTAGTAGTTTGAAGCAAAGCTTGTTGTGAGTTTCTTGTTCATGTGCATTTTTTTCGTGAGGTGCGGTGCGGGTGAGGTGATACCAGAATCAGAACGGGGGTGTAAGCTCAAATTATCTATTTATTTTATTTCTTTCGCGTCTCACTCAAACGCGATTTTCCTATTGGGTAGTGATATGTACGCGGGGATTTAGGATTCACATGCGTTTTTTTTTTTTTCTTTCTTTTTTTAAATCATATATTTGTATTTATTTGGTAATTTCTCCCGCTTTATCTTTTTCTTTGACATATTTGGATTTGGATTTTATTAAATAAATAAATAGATGTCTCATATTTCTTTTTATTTTTTAAGTCTTTTTTTTTTTTGTGTCTAAGAACTCTATCTAGATGAATTATTGTCCAAATAAAATTCTGAAGTTGTAGTGGTTTTCTTAACTTAATTTGTAAATAAATTTACAAATTCAAATAATAATAGTATTCATATATAAATAATTAATAGTATAAAAATCAATTTAAAGATAGGTGTGACATATAATTAATACTACTATTTATAGTATTTATAACTAAATAAATAAATAACAATGTAAATAATAAATAGTATAAAAATTAAACTAAAATTCATAGTATAAAGATGATAATAATAATAATATTTGCAGTATAAATAATTAATAGTATGCACAGTATAAAATGAATAGTATAAAGATAATAATAATAATATTCATAGTATGAATAATTAATAGTATAAACCTCAAATTAAAATAATAATAATAATAATAATAATATTTACAATTAATAGTTTTGAGTAATTAATTTGTAAATATATTTATAGGTTTAACTTGTAAGATTTTTTTTTTATTAAAAATAAATGATATTCATTCATTCAAATTGATAGAATATATTGTTGCAATTTAAATTTAAAATTGTCAAAAATAAAAATGATAAATCTGCGAATAAACTTACGGCATCTATATTATTAGCATAAAATGATAAATTACATAAACTTACAAATATAATTGTATTGAGATGTCCGAAATAATCATACTTTTGAATCTGCCGCACAAAGACGAGAAATTAAAATACACCAAATAAATACGACAAATCAAAACAAAAAATCACCCACAAAATCACAAAAAATACAGGGAAAAAAACACTAAATATATATATGAAAATCACTTATTTAACTAATAGAGAAACAACAATAATTTAAAAGAGATTTTGAATTAAAATTAATTATAAATCACCTATTTTTAAAAGAGGAAGAAAAAGAAGGAAAGTGGAAAAATAATTATAATAAAAGAAAAACTATTTTAATTTACTTAAAATATAAAAACTCTTTACATTGTATTTGTCAATAAAGTGTATATATAGATAAATAGTTATTGATAAATAATCATTTATAAAAATAAATCAAAATTTAATTATTTTTTTAAATTATTAGTAATATAAACTATATTGATATTTGATTCAACTTCTGACAATAATATTTATTTATATTTATATATTAATGTAAATATATTATTAATATTTATAAATCAAATAATTAAAAAAACAATGTATTAAATAGTGTAATAGTATCTTTTAGACTTCTTTTATCATAGATATTTTAGGCAATTTTAAAAGATATTTTTTACTTGATGAATCAAATAGGAAAGGACCAACATAATGTGAGTCCTAAAATAAATGAGACTTTTCTTTTTATATATTGTAATTAAAATATTTGATTTTTATAAAATGTTTTAAGAAATTTTTATGATTAAATTTTTTGAAATTTGTTATGACATTAGTTTTAAAGTCGATAATTAAATATTTATGTTTTTTTATCAATGTTGAATTATCATTCAAAATAAACAAATTTAAAAAATTAAATATATAAGTTTTTTTTACACTGAATCGTGTTGTCAACTATCACATGGTATATTGGTTAAACTAAATATTTTGTTTTGCTTTTTTTTAACTCTTTTATATAAGTGTGAGTAATACAAGTAAATTTTACAAAATTATAAATAAATTTTATTTTGGTAATAAAATTTATAATTATTAACAATTTATTTATACTAAAACTATGAGTTAAATATAATTTTAATTTATATAAAATATTTCATTTTAATTTTTATGTAAGATAAGGATTAAGAATATGTTAAATCTTAATATTAATTTATTTTGTTTGAATTTCCAAATGTATTAAAAAGAAAATGGGTACACAAAAAGGTGACGAAAACCCTCTCAAAGGGAAAATCTATATAATGGTAATTCAAGCTTATTCTTTATATAGTTAGTTTTAATACTTAGAGGAATAGAGTGAAATAAACAGAGGAAATTAGATGTCAAACCAAAATTAGCAAAGGAGTTTGGACAACTATTACCCTCCTTATAAATTTGAGATAATAAAAAAGAGATGGAAGAGGTATACAATCTACAATTCTCTCGTGTATGTTTAAGTTGTCAATCAGGAGGAAATGACCACTCGTTAACAATAAACTCAACTACCTTAGCATCAATTGCTTGGGAGGCAAGCAGACCGTAACCAACAAGAGATAAAAGAGGATCTTCACACTGACTATCTTTCCAAAAAGAAATTGTAGAACCATTCTAGGGGAGCCAAATTGAATTAGCATATATCACATTCAGCTAAGATTTTATATTGGATCAGAGGGAAGAAAAAATATGGTACCTAATGAAACCAAAAGATCTTTTTACTATAGTCATCAATAGTCTTGCCCGTGATTCAGTTTGAGTAAATAAATCTCAATAAACTTCAAATTGTTGGATTCATTTAAACATATGACAGACCTAAGACCGAGGCCCCCATAAAGAACAGACTCGCAAAGGATCTTCCAAAACACAGTCACCAGTTTCCTCTTATTAATTTCACCACTCCATATGAAATTCTTAATTGCTTTTTCAATTGTTCCAAGAGTAGAAACAGGCTAAACATAAACAATTATATAATGAATAAGCATAGTATAAATCATAGATTTAGCTAGACAAACCCTTCCTACTATTGATAAAAGATAACATTTCCAAGAGGAGAGGTTAGCTATGATTTTATCAACATTAGGTTGCAAATGAGAAACTTTCATATTTTCTTTAAAATGGGCACACCTAAATAGTTAAAAGGGAATTTGGCTTTTGAGAAACAAGTGGCAGCCACAAAAAGGTCAAGTCTAGTATTAGACATTGAACCTGAGTAAATGGTATACTTGTTTTGACTGAAAAGTTGACAAGAGAAAAATATAATATCTGAAGAAGACAACGTTAAAAGCTAAGACATTAGAGAGCTTCCCTTTACAAAAGATAAAAATACCAGCTACATACAAAGTGTGAGATGGGACTTTGACATGTCTTGCACCAGTAATTAGAGATAACTTCCCTTCTTCTGCAAGCAAGGAAATATTTCTACTACGGACATCTTCAGCCAGACAAAATGAGAGAGGAAATAATGATCACTCTTCCTCATTCCTCTATTGCATTTGAAAAAACCAGAAGTTGTACCATTAATCAAAATAAACAAATGAGCTCAATTGAGAATGGAAATCCATGAGCAAAACTTATGATTGAAGCCAAATTTGGGGAGCACTTTAAGAAGAAAGCTTTGATCTAAAGTATCAAAGGTCTTAGAAAAATCCACCTTTATGGCTAGATTCCCACCAAGAGATTATCTATCAAGTAAGTTAATAGCTTCTGAAGTAAGGCGGATACAATCTTTTATATTTCGGCCTTGGATGAACCCCTCTTTATTCAATGGAAATGATGAAGGGTGTAATACTAGCAACCTATCAACTAACACCTTTGAAATTATCTTGAGTTTAAAATTAGCCAATGCAATTGGCCTTGACATGTCAACGGAATTTTCATTCTTAGATTTTGTCGGAATAAGAATAATGTTGTTAGAGTTGAAATTAGGTAAAATACAACCTTGATTGAAGAATTAGAGGATTGTACTACAAACGTCCTCTTTGATCATATCCCAATAAGCTTGATAAAATGTTGCTCCAAAACCATTTGGCCCAGGCGTCTTGTCATTATTTAAACTGAGTGTTGCATTTGAGGTTTCCTTCACATAAGAAATCATAGTGATAATTGCATTCATACTGTCAGTAACAAAAGAAGGTATGACCTCTTCCACTATAAAAAAATTCTTAACCACGCCATTTTGATATAACAAATCGCTAAACAATTGACTACATGGGAATCTATTTCACTCTTGTCTGTAAGAGAGATATCTCCATTCTTGAGCATTGAAATAGGCCTGCGCGCATTTCTAATTTTGGTAATCCTATGAAAAAACACTACAAAAAATAGGGGAATTATGGCAGTTAAATATGTCATGTTATGGCGTTTTTAACCGTCGTAATCAACGAAACTGACAATTTTAAAAAACACCATAAATTTTAATGCCGCTAGGAATAATACGACAGTTTTTCTTAGGTGGTCGTGCAAACCTCCATAATATACTTTATTTAAAATGACGGTTATTTAGGCATAAAACAACCTTAATTTATATATATATATATATATATATATATATATATATATATATATATATATATATATATATATATATATATATATATATATATATATATATATATAATTTAGAATATAGGGTTGTTTCAACTGCCCTAATTTTTTACAAATATAAAATAAAAATAACAACTACTATATAGTTAGGACACATCTTGATATCCCACTTATAATAAAAATTACCAAATTATATATACTCTAATTTTTTTTATTTAACCATATTATGGACACACATAAAAAAACATTATCCTTAAATCTAAATTATTATATGGAAAATTGTTATCTTCCAAGT